TCAATTGAAACAATACCGAAAGATGAACTTTTTCTGTACGGCTCAGGAAACATCTTCAGAAGGTTCGATCAGAACAATTGTGCGATCAATGTGAGCAGTGTGCGAAAATTGGCCTTTGGACGCCGACTCGAGGCCAGGGCGCCCGCCGCCAGCGGTTCCAGCCCCCGAGGTGCGATCCCAACGATAACAACGATAATCTCGATGTTGTCGTTGTAATAGTTGTCAACGTTGTCGTTGTTTCCGTTGTTATCGTTGGTATGTTGTCATCGTGGATGTCGTTGGTATCGTTGTTATCGTTGTCGTTGTTGTGGATATCGTTGTTAGGTTGTCGTTATATTTGTCACTGTTGTCGTCGTTATCGTTGTCGTAGTTCTCGTTGCCGTTGTTGTCGTTGTTATCGTCGCTGTCGTTGTTATCGTAATCGATGCCATCGTTGTCGTCGTTATCGCTGACGCTGTTCTCGTTGCTGTGCTGTTGTTGTCGCTGCCGCTGCCGTCGGTGCTATCGCTGTCGCTGTTATCGTTGCCGTTGCTATCGTCGTTCTGGCGGTGACCGCTGCGGTGAGGGGTGTTTTGGAGTCCCGAAACGGTGCGGTGACAGACCGTGCGGTGACCTCGAAATCCCCCAAGACCTCACCGCACGGTCCGTCGCCGCACGGTCTTGGGACCCCAGAGGCCCCTGTCGCCCGAGACGTCCTCTGAGAGGGACCCGAGTCCCAAAACCGTGCGGTGACCCCGAATCCCCACCGACTCACCGCACGGTGTGCTCACCACACTGAGTACCTACCAGACCACCCCAACCCAACCCGAAGACCCCAATTTCGGGTTGGGGGGGGTACGGGTTCCATATGTGTTTTTTCAGTGTTCCCCGACCCCCCCCAACCGGAAATGGAGGGCAATTTGAGGCCTTCGGGTTGGGTTGGGGTGGTTTGGTGGGTGGTGACACACCGCTTAGGGCCCCCGAGGTGTGCCAAGCTGTGCCGCAACGGATGCCGGCTCTGGGCCCCGTGCGCCGGCGTCTGGCCGCCGCCTCCCGGCCGCCGCCTCGCGGGCCGCCGGCGCCCCCACGCGCACTGCCGCGCGGCGAGGGGAGTCGAAACGCCGCCGCAGGAAACCTCAAATCAGGAACGAGGCTTCCGCCTCCTCCCACCCTCCTCCTCCTCCTTCTCCTCCTCCTCCTCCTCCTCCTCCTCCTCCTCCTCCTCCTCCTCCTCCTCCTCCTGTCCGTCCTCCTCCCCCTCCTCCCTCCACCGCCCGCTCCATGTCCCGAACCTGTGGCAGGGTCATCAGCTCGTCGTTGTCGTTGTCGTCGTGGTCGTCGTCGTCGTCGTTCTGGGTCGGCGGCACCAGCCGCAAGGCCTGCACAATCAGGAACGAGGCTCCTTTTTCTCTATAAGTCAAACATCGATGTCCCATAGAAAATCTGGGGAGAGCCTGAGCAAGAACTGCAAACACAGTGAAGGAACAGAGGCCCTCCCCAACGAAGAAGGTTCCTGCTTCAGCGACCCGACTGTAGAGTGGACTGGTGATTTTCCCGCCCCAGGGGGGTGCAGCTAAACCCGTACAAGAAGACCGCATGACAAGGATGCAAGGGCCTGGGAAGACCATGTCGATACTTTGCGGGCGGGGCGCGGCCTGCGAGAGCGGTCAGGGATGGACCGGAGGGGAAGGGTGCAACGGTAAGCTTGGAAAGTCGCTCATCCGCAGTATGCGGGCTGACTGCAAGAAAAAGAAACAACTCGCCCCGCTGCGTTGCCACCTGGCGAGCAGCATCGAATAGTCTTGTGTCGCCCCCGGGTCTTGCCACGTGGAGAGAAAATTATCCCGGTGCGACCATACCTAGGAGTTGGAGCTTCTAGCAAAGCAACATTAGTAGGAGCGGTAAACGCCGGCTTCCTCCTTCTCCTCATCGTCGTAGTTGTAGTTGTAGCAGTATCGGTAGTAGTAGTAGTAATAGTAGTAGCAGCAGCAGCAGCAGCAATAGTGGATGCTGTGCTGCGGTATGCTATGCTATGCTATGCTCTGCTCTGCTCTGCTCTGCTCTGCTCTGCTATGCTATGCTATGCTATGCTATGCTATGCTATGCTATGCTATGCTATGCTATGCTGCACCATGCTATGCTGAGCTAGGCTAGGCTAGGCTATGCTATGATATGGCATGCTATGCTGCGCTATACTATGCTGCGCTATGCTATGCTGCGCTATGCTATGCTATGCTGCGCTTTTGCTTTGCCTTCGCTTTTGCATACACTTTTGCCGTTGCTTTTGCTTTTGCTTGGCACCCAAGGAGCGCAACTGGGGGAACCGCGCGTTTGGTTTTACCGTTGCTGTTGCTTTTGCTTGGCTCCCAGGGGACTGGGGGAACCGCCCGGGGCGCTTTCCACTGCCCGGCCCCTTTAAGCCAACAGAGTAAGAACCCTTCTAGGCAGAGCCTAGGTAGGGAAACATTGATGGTACTGTTCCCGCCCCGCTGCGTTGTGGCTTGGCGAATTGAACAAGAATTGGACGCTCTCCGCCCCGCTGCGATGTCAGTGTCGAGCATAACATAATCGTGTTGGTCCGCCCCTCAGGAGCTGCCACGTGGCGAATATAAAGTTCCGCCATGCTGCGTTACCACGTGGCGGGTAGAGTCATATTGCTTCCTCCCCCTTCTGTTGCAACGTAGCGAATGGTTTGTAGTATTTCGTTTACGCCACCTGGGCGTTGCGGCGTGACGAGAAGGGTGGAATAGTATGTGCGTTTCGCCCCAATGCCTTGCCACGCAACGAATATGATTGAATCGTACCTTGCCTCCGCCCCAAAAACGCTGCCACGTGCCGAGTTGCCTGACATCAAAATGCTTGACGCCCGCTGCGTTGGCACATGGCGAGTACAATAGAATAGCATGTGGTTCGTCCCCAGGCGTAGAATGGCGACTATTCTCCGCACCCAAGCGGCGCCACTGGGCGAGTAAGCGTATACGTAATTGATATGCTCCTCACCCTACAGCGTTGCCATGCGCAGAGTACAAGGCAATTTCTAATACATGGGATATCTAAACATATAGGAGCTTAATACATGATTAATGTATGAATAAATGTATGCATGAACTCGTCATTGCTTTTTGTACTAAATCCCTGCATGTTTAATACATGATCCGCGCGCGGAGCATGTCTTAAAAACGGCACTGTGGACTCGAACCGCATTGGTTCGCGCCCCGTCAGCTGGCCATCGCTCGGACGTCCATTCCATGTGTTTTTTCGGTTTCGTGCGTGGGTGTTTCGCCAAATGATCAAGGATGCTCCTCGATGGCCTTCGCCGAAGGAAAAATGCACGCGTCCGAGCGATGCCCCGTCAGGCGCTGCCACGTGGCGAGACCAGACTGGCACTTGTTCCGGCCCCAGGCGTCGCCACGTGACGAGCAGAGTCACACAGGAGCTGATAGCGCCCCGCCACGGTGCCGCGTGGCGAGCAGCATCGATAGAGGGCCACATTTGAACCCTCTGATTCGCGTTGCTTGATCTCATCAATCACAGCGTCTCATAATTCGCTGTACCTCCTCTTTCTATTCCTATATCCAGTTTTTGTTTCAATTGCTCAATCTCCCCCCCACGATTTTGTGAGGGGGAGGGTGGGGTTCACTTCGCTCGGGAGCTCCCGAACGAAGTGAACCCCACCCTCCCCCTCAGAAATCGTGGGGGGTAGGGGTAGGGTTCGCATGTGGCCCCCAAATCGAAGAGCATCGTGGCGCCCCCCTGGGCGTTGCCGCGCGACGAGCAAGAGTGGAGCGCTATTGTCTGCGTCTCGCTGCGTTGCCCCGTGGCGAAGAGAGCAGAACCGAGTGTTCAGCTCCGCTGCCTTGCCGCATGGCGCGTAAAGTAGTACCCGTGTCTGTTCGCCCCTGAGGGGCTGCCAGAGGGCGAACAAAAACTCCGCCCCGCTGCGTTTCCAAGTGGCGAGTGCAATCTGATCGCTGATTCGCCACCCCCTTAGGCGCTGCCACGTAACGAACACAGTGAAAACAAGTTGTTTCCACCCTCTTGCTGTGCAGTGAGAGGAGAGGAGTATAATGGAATGGGCCAACCAACAAACCGCCAAACCAACCAACCAGCTAATTGGTCTACCAGGCAACCAGGACAACTGATCAACCAGTCAAACCATGACGTGCCATGCCGTACCCGCAACGCGCCGCCATCCACCCGACCAACCGATCAACCAACCGATTGGACGACCAACCAACTGACCAACCAACCAACCGCAACCGACCGCCCAACAAACGAACCAACCGACCAACCAACGAACCAAGCAACCCACCGATAAACCAACGAACCAACCAAACAACCAACCAAACAACCAACCAAACAACAAACCAACCAACCGATCAACCCAACGAACAAACCAATCAACCGGCAAACTGGGCAACCGGGCAACGGGACAACCGGCGACCCGGCCACCCAACCAACCGACCGTTGCAAATCAGTTAAATTAACAACAAATATGCATGAAAAACACACATTGAACCCTCATAATGAAACAGTGAACACGCAGGAAAGAAAGTTTAGGTGAACATGCTCCCGAACCAAGCCCACATCCTACGATGAGGTCCACGCTGCAGCGGGAACACCATTCTCGAAGCGCCGAGAACTTCTGGATTGGAAAGCTGTCTTCGGGGAAGAGAGGGAAGTAGCATTCATGTTGAGTGATTGCGTCGGAGACGAGGGCACGATGAATAGATGAGGAAGAGAGAGGGAAAAAAGGAAGGGATGGACGGGGATGACTCCTCCTCCTCCTCCTCCTCCTCGTCCTCTGCTTCCTCCGCCTGGGGGAGACTGAGGAGGAGGAGGCAGAGGAGGAGGAGGAGGACGAGGGAGGAGGGAGGAGTAGAAGAGGAACGCGGAGGAGGAGACGACAACCAAGGAAGCAGGACGTTGGGTGGCGCGGGGAGCACCCTGGAGGAAGCCAGAGCTGCGGGAGCTGAACGGACGCCCGGCCCGCCGCCGCGCCGAGGGGGGTGCGAGCGCGCCCTGTGCGACGGCGGCACCTTCATCCCTGAGAACTCCTCGGCGGCGCGGCGGGGGCGCCCGTCCTCCTCCCGGTCCTTCCTTGGTCGCCCAGTCTCCCTCTTCCCCCCGGCTTCAAAGCAGTGTGCTGGCCAGCTCGCCACACGTGCTGCACACGGAGCCCAAAACTTCCCCTGGAGCTAACACCTCGGCCGTAAAGGACAAGATGGGTCCATCAGCACACCAGCCAGCCATACAAAATGGATGTGAGCTCCACCCCACTGGCGTAGCCCTAGTCCTCCCAGTCCTCCTCCTCCTCCTCCTCCTCCTCCTCCTCCTCCTCATTGTCCTTCTCCTCCTCGTCCTCGTCGTTCCAGCTCCTCCGTCTCGCTGTCTTCTCCCTCGGACGGCAACCTTTTCACCCGCTTCCTCCTCGCCATTGTCATCACTCCTTGCCATCATTCCCATCCTCCTCCCCCGCCTCCTCCTCCTCCTCCTCTTGAGCCTCCTCGTCCGTCTGCCCAGCTTGCTCGCTCTCCTCCCCTCTTCCCCCTCCTCCTCCTGATCCCACCCCCACCCTCCTCCTCCCGCATCATTATCCCTCCCCCCGTCCTCCACCCCCGTTCACCTCTCCTCAGTAATCCCCCCGTGCTCTCTGTCGTCTCGTCTCGCTCTGCCCGCGGCTCTTCGCCCCGCTCCCTGTCTCTCCTCCTCGTCCTCCTCGTCGAGCCAGCTCCTGCCTCCGTCATCCTGCCTCCACATCCTCCCTCCTCCTTCCTCCTTCCTCCGTCCCTCATCCGTCAGTCCTTCCTCCTCCTCCTCCTCCTCCTCCTCCTCCTCCTCCTTCTCCTCGGCCCGCCCTCCTCCCTCCCACCCTGCCTTAACCGCCCCAATATCATGTCCCTACTTCTCCACATCCTCCTCCTACTCCTCTTCCCGCTCATCATCACTATCATCACCATCACCATCACCATCACCATCACCATCGTCATCATCATCATCATCATCATCATCATCATCATCATCATCATCATCATCATCATCATCACCATCATCATCATCATCACATCATCATCATCATCACCATCATCACCATCACATCACCATCATCATCATCATCATCATCATCATCATCATCATCATCATCATCATCATCATCATCATCATCATCATCATCATCATCATCATCTTCATCTTCATCAGCAGCAGCATCATGATCATCATCATCATCATCAGCATCATCATCATCATCATCAGCATCATCATCATCAGTATCATCATCAGCAGCATCATCATGTCATCATCAGCACCAGCATCGGCATCAGCAGCGGCATCAGCATCAGCATGAACATCAGCATCATCATTGTCATCATCAGCATCACCATCATAAGCAGCATCATCTGCATCAGCCTCAGCCTCAGCATGAGCATCAGCATCATTATCAGATTCATACTCATCATCCTCATCATCACCATCATCATCCTGAAAGTGCATGAACAACGAAGCAGGAATGGCAACGATAAGTATGCTTAAAATAGACGTCAAATCGGTTGGTAGCAAGGTACAGCTACTCAAGCAGTGAACCTCATGGCGGCGCAGTCATATCCGCAAAACTCAACCCAAAACTTTGGACGCCCGAAATGGGTACGGAAAGAACGGGCACAATGCTCAACAGCAAATGATGTCCCGGATCAACAGCGGCCGCTGTTTGGCAGGCGGCCTTCTGTTTCAAATGGGCACAATCTGCGGCGACGCCGACAGCGAATCCTGCTCAGAATGGACAAGAACTGCTGTCGGTCTTTGTACCCATTCTTTCCGTACCCATGTCGGTTGTCCCAAAAAACAAGGAATTCAGTGCAACGCATTGGCTCCAAATGAACTGCACTGCAATCCTCCTCCTCCTCCTCATCGTCCTCCTCCTCCTCGTCATCCTTGTCCACCTCCCCTCTCCTGATCCTCATATTCCGCCTCATCCACCCCTCTTCCGTATAAACATCTCCTCCCTGTCGCATCCCCGGACGTGTCGTCAGGACGGGCCGGGCGTTTCGCCTTAGATGTCATCCCCTTTTGCGGCCTTGAAGCTTGAAACTCCCAAGAGTTACCCGGATGGAGGGCGGTGCCTTGCGGTGCCTTTTCAAAATGGGTCTCTCGCGCTGGCGCTGCCCATACACATCTTAACGGTACCCAAAAGTTACACGGATGGAGGGCGGTCCTTTTTCAAAATGTGGCTCTCGCCTTGGCGCTGCGCACACTCGTCCGAAAACTAATCCCACGGTTACACCGACGGAGGTAGCGTTCTTTCTTCAAAGTGGGGCTCTCGCGCCTGCGACTCTTCCTCAAAGCATTGTCCAAACAGTTCCTGCACTATGGGATTCCCTTGCTCCTCTTCCAAGTAATTGGAAGGGTGGGCTTGACTTTCGCCGAGGAGGTGGAGAAGTGAGGGAGGAGTGAGGGAGGAGTGAGGGGGGAGGACGGAGGAGGACGGAGGAGGAGGAGGAGGAGGAGGAGGAGGAGGACGGAGGAGCAGGAGGAGGGAGGAGGAGGAGTAGGAGGACGGAGGACGGAGGAGTAGGAGGACGGAGGACGGAGGAGGACGGAGGAAGGAGGACGGAGGAGGAGGAGGAGGAGGAGGAGGAGGAGGAGGGAGGACCGCCCGTGGGCGCCTCGAGCTGGGAGCGTGGGCCAGGGTTCTCGCCCGCCCGTGGGAGCCTCCGTGGGCGCCCCGTGCGCCCGCCACCGTTGGGCTGCGCCGAGCTGCCCCCCGGGATGTCTGGCACCGCACGGCTTCTGCACCGCACGGAGTGCACCGCAGAGCTTTTGCCCACACTGCACCGCATCACTCGGGTGCAATGTACAGGTGTCTGTATGTATGTATTTATACACGTGTGCAGTTTACGGCACATGCATGGAAAGCTTGCACACACACACACACATGTATACGCATGTATATATATATATATATAAACATAGACATATATATACACATCTTTATACATACGCATGTGTACACATTTTTACATCAGTACACAGTGCACCACGCAGCTTGCGCCACGTGGCATACCCGCGTACATTGCGCCGCACGGCTGGCGCCACGCGGCGTGCACCATTTGTGTTGCACCGCGTGCCTTTCGCCACCCAGCTTGAGCCACCATGCTGCATAACACAGCTCGAACAACATAGCGCACACATCTAGAGTGCAACATCTCGCTACGTGCAGTCCACGCTGGCTAAGATACCACCACGATCGTGCACTTGTGGCGGCACTGCACGGCTGGGGGTCGGGCCAGCTCACGCCTCCACGGGGGTGGCGTTCGCCATGTCGGGTATCCCGGCCGTGTACGACGAGAAGCGCATCGAGGCGGCGCCAGAGACCGCTCGCTGCAACGCACACGCTTCGCTCTGCCAGGACGAAGGGTGAGGTAATCTGGAGCCCGCTGGTCCCCAACACGCTCTGGCCGTCGCTCGGACGTGTATCTGTTCCCTGTGCACTTGTTTGTTGTGTCGTGCGTGGCTTTTCGCCGCATGATCAAGGATGCTCCTCGATGGTCCTCGCCGCAGGAAAAAACGCACACGCCCGAGCGATGATGCCAAGCGCTGGTGCCGTCGGCGAGGCCAATCGCGCAAGCTCGGGAGCGGCCAAGAGGGGGGGTGTCCAAGAGGGGGGGATGCAAATCATGACCGGCGGCACGTGCGCGGCCCAGCGGGGGGGCCAGGGACGTAATGAAACAAGAAGAGGCGCCATCAAATCTGGGGAGATCTCATGCCCCCGCCATAATTCGGGGATGGACAGACCCCCCTTTAGCAAAACGTGGTTTAGTGAAAACGACCTGAGGCCCAAACCTGGCGGGCGCAAGCCTGGAAAATAACGGCCACGGCGCCCTCTCGAAAACCGAGAACGGACAATTCACTAATCGACGTGTCACTGTTGGGGGTTCTGTCTACCCCCGAATAATATCCCCCCCCCCTAATCATCCCCCCCCTCTTTTCCGCCCCCGACAAGCGCGCGAACTCTGGCAACGACCGGTCCGCCGTGCGAGGCGAGGCGCCGAGGCCCGCGCCAGAAGAGGAGCAGAGCGGCTGCTCGGACGGAGGGCGGCTCCGGCTCCTCTCCAGAGCGGGGCTGCCCACTCGCCCTGGGCTTTGGAGGAGGAGGAGGAAGAGGAACAAAAGGAGGAGGAGGAGGAGGAGGAGCAACCCGATCTTATCGCACTCCTTCTGGGTCGGCGGACGAAGGGCGGTGTCTTTCGAAACAGAGCTCCCGCCTGATGTGCGGGCCTGTGGGGCGCCCGTCTTTCACGGGGAAGCGTTCCACGCAGCGACAACAAAACATCCATGTAGGGACTAACGAGGGGACCTGGAACCTTGAGAGTGAATTGCAGCACCGTTGGTACACACTGGGTTTACTCTGGTCCTCCTCCTCCTCCTCCTCCTCCTCCTCCTCCTCCTCCTCCTCCTCCTCCTCCTCCTCCTCCTCCTCCTCCTCCCCCTCCCCTCCCCCTCCCCCTCCCCCTCCTCCTCCTCCCCCTCCTCCTCTCCCCCTCCCCCTCCCCTCCTCCTCCCCCTCCTCCTCCCCTCCCCTCCTCCTCCTCCCCCTCCTCCCACCCCCTGCCCCTCCCCCCCCTCCTCCTCCTCCTCCCCCTCCTCCTCCTCCTCCTCCCCCGCCTCCTCCTCCTCCCATTCCTCCCGCCACTCTCGTGACGAAAACGGGGGCAGCCATGCAGAGAGCAACGCGATACGAGAAGTCGGTGCCGTCCTCGTTGCAAGGATTCTTGCCTGGGAAGAACTCCGCGCTCAGGTTGCCGTAGCCCTGGGGCAGGCGTCTACTGATGCCCCTCCTCCTCCTCCTCCTCCTCCTCCTCCTCCTCCTCCTCCTCCTCCTCCTCCTCCTCCGCCCGGGCCACTGCCGGTGCCCGCCGGGTACGGGCGCGCTCGCCTGCACAAAGCGGAGAGGCGCTGCGCTCCCCTGCGCCCGCCGACCGCCGAAGGGCACCAGGTCTGCGGCGCGCCGTCTGCCCAGGGTCGGGGCATGGTTTGTAAGTCAGGCAGGTCCCCCCACAGGGGGAGAATTCAAAAGTGGTCCAAAGTCAGTCTGGGGACGAGTCTTGGACTACTTTTGGACATGTTCCGACCACTCTGTATCTTCCCCCAGAGTCCGCCTGTAGGGGGACATACCCGACCCAAAGCGGGGCCCGCGGGCGAGAACGGACTCGGTCCAGCACCCCCACGTCGACTCGGGCAAGCCCGACGCGAAGGCAGCCCGCTGCCGCCGCCAGGCCTCGCAATACGCCCGATGCACGGGATCTGTTGGAGGCACAGGTGCGCGCCGCGGCGGGGCTCTGGAGCAGGACACAAGGGAGGGAGAGATGGAAGAGGAGGAGAAGGAGGAGGAGGGGAAGGAGGAGGAGGAGGAGGAGGAGGAGGAGGAGGACGAGGAGGAGGAGGAGGGGAGAGGACCAGGGAAGGGAAGGGGAGAGGACGCGAAGGGGAGGAAGGGGACGTAGAGGAGGAGAGGTACGGCGATCAGCAGTCGGGCGTGGAGAAAGGTAGGGAAATTTTGGAAGAGGGCGAGGGATGAGTACGAGGATGATCGGGAGGTGAAGGACAAGAAAGAAGGCACGCATGAGGGTGGCGGGGACACAAGAAAACTAAAAACAATCACATTGGAAATGAAAGCGCTTCCAGTGCGATCCGCGTTCGAGAAAAGAGCGAGGAGCGAAGAGGCGGATTAGGCGGATGATCAGGGGAGAGAACATGGGCGGACGAAGGGAAATTGGGGGGGGCTGACGGGGAGGGCGCATGATGCGGAGGAGGACCGGGAATGGGGACGGTGAAGGCGAGTGGGAAACTGATCAGGGATAGGCCGAGGGGGAACGATAGGAGACGAGGACGAGGGCAGACGGTGGCACGGCGATCTGCAGTCGCGAGAGGCGAGGATGCTGTATGTGTATGTAAAGACATGTATGGGAACACATGCATATACATATATGTATATATATATTACTAACAATAAATGAGCGTGGGTGTGTTTGCGTATGTGTTCGTCAGCGTGGATCCCGAACAATGCCCTGTTGCTCTCAGATATGTGGCGTGAGCTGAGGAGGCGACAACTGTGTGGTGCAAGCTGCGCGGTGTGAGGCATGCGGTGCAAGCTGTGTGACGTAAGCTGAGCTGTGCAAGCCGTGTGAGATCAGAGCACGGGGCGTCCACGAGGCGCCCACGAGGCGGCCACGTGGCACAGCGCCGGCATGCCCCCCGAGCGCGGGGCGCCCACGAGGCGCCCAAGAGGCAGCGTTGGCGGCAACGCGGCGCCCGCGAGGTGGCAAAGGCGGCAACGTGGAGCAACCCCAGCGTGCCCCCCGAGCACGGGGCGCCCACCGGACCACCCGCGGGGCGGCACGGGCGGCGGCGTGGCGAGAGCACAACCGGCCACCTCAACAGTTCCCCTACTAGGGGGCCAGATGCGAACCCTACCCCTACCCCTACCCCCCACGATTTCTGAGGGGGGAGTAGGGGTAGGGTTCGCATCTGGCCCCCTACTTACGAGAAGACACTCCACCAGAGAAGAACGCCAATCAGTGAATGAGTTGAGGAGTAAATGAGTGATAACGATAATGAGATCGATGATGAGATCAATAACGCGCTCGATCGTGGGATCCCGAAATCGGGCCAGAGCCGGCAACTGGGAACCCGGGAACATGCACTTCACAAGGAACCTGGGAACCCAGCCGGCTACCGAAATCGGCCCGCAGGACCCATTCAGTGCAAGCGCTGACAGGAAATAAAAACCCCTAAGTGCAGGCACTGCCTGGGGGACGCGTGTATATACATGTGTTAGCCAGCGTGAACCCCAAATAGCGATGTCGTGCGATCTATGCGGTGCATTCTAGGCGGGCGCAGGTGGTGCCGTGCGATCCATGTAGTGCCATGTATGTGGTGCGATCTATGCAGGTGATGCGGTTCATGTGGTGCCATCTATGTGGCACAACGCAGCACACGGCTTTGTAGTGCTTTGTGACAAAGTACTACAAAGCAATGCAAAGCCATACAGTGCAATGTAAAGCCATGCAACGCCATGCAACGTCATGCAACGCCATGGAAAGCAAGACACGGCAATGCAATGCAGAGCAAATCAAACGAGTGCGAGCAGTGCAAAGCAATGCAGAGAAATCAGTGCGAAACCATCGCATGCAATGCAGCGCGACGCAGAGCAGTGCAGGAGCGCTAGCACAGTCGGCGACGGCTTGGCGACGGCGACCACACAGCCGCCAGACCGACGGGCAGGCCCAGCGGGCGGCGACGAGGCGGCGACGGAGACCGACGAACAGGCCCCGCCCCCCAGAGAAGCAGCAGGGGCCCCTGATTGCGAGCACCGGCTGGGGAATATGCATCGATATACCGTTTGGTAACTGTGCATGGATGTGTAATGGCACAGGAAGAGAGCAAAGACCGACCGCAACGACATTTAAAACGAAATGGCGTTTACAACGGACAACGAGGCCCAACGTTCAAAACGAACGCTTGAAACGAAGCCAGTGCCAAGCAAAAAAACGACGAAACGGGGCGTGTAAGCCAACAGCAACACCATACGAAGCGAAACAAGAACGAAAAGAGAAGTGAACAACCAAACAAGGGCACAAACTAAGCTAAGCAGCGTTGTGGTCGGTCCTTGGAACAAAGGTGTGCGCAGGGGGGGTAGGTGCCAAAGACCAGGAAAGAACGAGGGGCAGCAAGAGGACGAGAAAACACTAGGAGCTGGGGCGGGCGGGTGGGCGGACAGGGGGGGGGATGGGGGCGGGAGACAGAAGCGATGGTGGGTTTTTGCCGGGGGAGAGGGAGGAGGGGGGAGAGGAAGAGGAGGGTGGACTGTGGATGAGGGAGGGCTGGGAGATTTGGGGTGGAGGAAGAGAACTCGTATTGGCGGCGGGATGGAATAGGGAAACAAACGGTGAAAGGTGGCGAAAGAAGGGAAAGGGGGGGGAATGAAGCAGGAGACGAGGGTGCAATTGGAGGGTAAGGCAGCAGGAGGAAGGCGACGAATAATCGACGGGTAGTGTGGCAGCAGCGCGCGCGCGTGCGGGCGTCCCCGTGCCGCCCGCCTTCAGCTCAATGTACTCCACAAACTCGGACTTGTATTTGCTGTCGTCGAAATCTGTCTGGTCCTAACAGGGAGAGGGGGGAAAAAAGGAAGGGGATGACGGAGGAAGGAGGAATGAGAGGGTAGGGGCGGGGTTGAAGAGGAAGGAGGCGGAGGAAGGATGACAAAAAAAAATGAAGGAGCTGGCAAGGAGGAGGGGGACGGTGTGGAGGAGCAGGAGGAGGGAGTTGGGGAAAAGGCTGTGAATGGATGGAGGAATAATAATGGAAGGATGGCGGGATGAGGAAGATGGGGTGACATGGGGAAAAGGGGGAGGAGGGGCACAGAACATAGGGAAGGGAAGGCGGCGGAGGAGGGGGAGGATGACGACGACCCGAGGGGAGGGAGGAGGCGGAGCAGGGGGGAGGCGAACACACAAGAAAAGGGAGAGAAAGAGTGGGGTGAACGCGAGGAGGACGCGGATGGGAAGGAAGGGGATGTGGATGGCATGGATGATACAAGGTGGTGGGGAATGCTACAGCACTTTCGCTGGTCCAACGGTTGAATCTGCGGCAAGAGCTCAAGATGCCAGTTCGCGCGCCCCCCGCGGGGTCCTCAGACAAAAAGCAGCCCAACCATTTCAATTCAGAGCCGGAAAGAGCGCGTTCTGTGGTCGCTTGGAGGCGGGGGGGGGGGGGGAAACCAGACCCCCCCCCCTGGATGAGGGGGGGAGGGTTCGAACCCTTCCCCCCTCCCGTGACGTTGAAGGGTGAGGTTCGATACCCGCCCCCCCCCCCTCCCGTGACAGGGGAGGGCGTTCCTCGGGCGAGCGCTTGTGTCGGCGGCGGCTGGCGACGGCGGCGGGGACGACGATTTCCATTTCTGGGCCGGCGCCGGCGCCTGTGGCGGCGGGCGGCGGTGGCGGGGAGCGTCGACAAGGACGACGGTGGTGGTGGTGGTGGTGGTGGGTTGTGGTGGTGGTGGTGGCGGTGGTGGTGGTTGTGGTGGTGTGGTGGTTTGTTGTGGTGGTGGTGGTTGTGGCGGTGGGTGGTGGTGGTGGTGGTGGTTTGGTGGTGGTGGTGGGTGGTGGTGGTGTGGTGGTGGTGGTGGTGGTGTGGTGGTGGTGGTGGTGGTGGTGTGGTGTGGTGTGGGTGGTGGTGGTGGTGGTGTGGTGGTGGTGGTGGTGGTTTGGTGGTGGTGTGGTAGTGGTGTGTGGTGGTGGTGATAGTGGTTGTAGTTTTGGTGGTGCGTTGGTGGTGTGGTGGAGGTTTGTGGTGGTGGTGGTGGTCTGTAGTTGCGGCGGTGGTTTGTGGATGTGGCGCTGGTGGTGGTGGTGGCGGTGGTGGTGGTGGTGTGGTGGTTTTCGGTGGTGGTGGGTTTGCTGCTGGTGGTGGTGGTGTTTGTAGCAGGGGTGGTGGTGTTTTGGTAAACTGTGGTGGTGGTGGTAGTGGTGGTGGGTTTTTGTGGTGGTGATGGTGAGTTGTGGTGGTGGTTGTGGTGGTGTGGTGGTGGTGGTGGTGTGGTGGTGGTTCGTGGTGGTGGTGGTGGTGTGGGTTGTGGTGGGGCGGTGGTTTGTGGACGTTGTTGTGGTGGTGGTGGTGGTGGTGGTGGTGGTGGCGGTGGTGGAGTGGTGGTGGTGTGGTGGTTTGTGGTGGCGTGGGTTGTGCTGCTGGTGTGGTGATTGTGGCGGTGGTGGTGGTGGTGTGGTAGATTGTGGTGGGGTGGTGGTGGTGGTGAGTGGTGTTGGTGGTGGTTGTGCTGTGTGGTGGTGGTGGTGGTGGTTGTGTGGTGCTGTGGTGGTGGTGGTGGTGGTGGGTTGAGGCGGTTGGTGGTGGTGGTAGTAGTGGTGGTAAATGTCGCTGCGTCCCCGCCGTCGCCGGCGCCAGCGCGCCGCTGCTGGCCGCCGCCAGCGCCGGCGCGCGGGGGGGGGGGGGGTTTGAACCCCCCCCCACTCCCGGCGCCAGGGGGGGGGGGTTCAACCCCCCCCCTCCTGGGCTGCCTGTGGTCATCGTCGCTGCGTCACGCCGTGGCGCTGTGGCGGCCGCCAGCGCCGGCGCGCGGCGCCGAGGGGGGGGGGGGGTTGAACCCCCCCCCTTGGGAGGGGGGGGGGGTTTGAACCCCCCCCCCCCCTTGGGTGAGGGGGGGGTTCGGGAGGGGGGGGTTTTGGGGGGAGTGGTGTCCCCCTGGTTTTGATCGACGGCGCCGAATGTTGGGGGGGGGCGCCCACCCCCCGGTTCGAAACGCGCCGCCGAAGGTTCTCCAGGCAAGCGCCCGTGAAACGCGCTCTCTCAAAGATGGTGCTCGTCCTAGGGGCCGGCCTTCAAGGCTCCCAGGAGCGCTCCAGCAGCGCTCCACGAGGCCAGCAGGAGGGCCGAGAGCCTGTGAGGGCCCGACACGGCCCAAGAGCGCTCCCAGACGTCCAAGATAGTCTCTGCACGTTGCAAAAAGCCTCCTAAAGTCCCAAGGGCGCTCCGAGAGTGCGACCAGAGGGCCCCGAAAGAATAGAGTCACGGATTTCAAATCTGGTTGTGGATGATTTCAGCGTTCTCGCCGTTTCTGCGGAAAAAAATCGAGGCTCCAGGACGGCCAAAGAGGCTCCCAAGATCGCCCCAGACAGCCCAAAAGGCTCCCAAGATGGCCCCCCAAAAACCCAAGAGGACTCTCCTCCTCCTCCTCCGCCTCCTCCTCCTCTTCCTCCTCATTCTCCCCCTTCTCCGTGTCTCCTCCTTCTCCGCCTTCTCCCCTCCCCCTCCCCCTCCCCCTCCTCCTCCTCCTCCTCCTCCTCCTCCTCCTCCTCCTCCTCCTCCTCCTCCTCCTCCTCCTCCTCCCTCCTCCTCCTCCTCCCCCTCCTCCACCCCCGTCCTCCTCCTCCTCATCCTCCATTGTTTTTTCTTCTAAATAACTTCTCCCTGTCGCACCCCGAGGCCAATGTTTAGGGCGGGCCGGGCGTTTCGCCCGAGACTTCCTCACCATGTCTGATTATGAAATAGACGCCAGTCTCACAGATGGAGGGTGGGTCGTTTTCAAAATGTGACTCTATCCTTAGCGCCGCGCGCATTCGTTCTGAACAATTGCAAGAGCTTCGCGGATTGAGGATCGCCCGTCTTCAAAATGTGGCTCTCGCCTTAGCGCCGCGCACATTCGTTCTAAACATGATCGACCCACGAACCTGGAAAGGAATATAGACATGTAAGGCATGGCAACGTTTCAAAGACACCTGATTGGGCGACGGGCAACTGCAATGCTGAATAGGGCTGTGCTGTGCTACGCCCTGCTGAACTGCGATGTGCCATGCCGCGATTGTGCTCTAGATAGCGTTGTGGATCGAGTCCTCCCTGGCATCCGAGTCCTGACCGAACTGATCTGGATCTCAAGCTCGAGCTGCCAGAGCAGATGGTAGCTGCCCCATAACTAATCCACAGAAGGGACATGCCAGGAGGACGCGCCGCGGAACGTCCCGAGGGACGCGCCAGGCGACGTGCCAGGGGACGTGCCACTGGCACGCACCGCGGGACGTGCCAAGGGGACGCGCTACGGAACGTGACGATGGACGTGCCGCGCGACATGCCAGGGGGCGCGCCGCGTGACGTGCCAGGTGGACTCGCCACGGAACGCGCCAAGGAAGGTGCCAAGGTGCAATGTTGAGTGTATCAATCTTGATGTACCGTGCCGACGGCTGTGCTGTGCTCGGCCGTGCTGAACTGCGATGTGCCATGCCGCGATGGTGTTCTAGATAGCGTTGTGGATCGAGTCCTCCATGGCATCCGAGTCCTGACCGAACTGATCTCGATCTCAAGCTCGAGCTGCCTGAGCAGATGGTAGCTGCCCCAGAACTAATCGACAGGGGGACATGCCAGGAGGACGCGCCGCGGAACGTCCCAAGAGACGCGCCAGGCGGCGTGCCAGGGGACGTGCCATGGGCAAGCACCGCGGGACGTGCCAAGGGGACGCGCTACAGAACGTGATAATGGACGTGCACCGCGCGACATGCCAGGGGGCGCGCCACGGGACGCTCCGCGGAAAGTGCCAGGCAACATGCCAGGCTGCAATGCTAAGGGTATCGGTATTGATGTACCGTGCCGAGGGCTGTGCTGTGCCTGGGCGACCTGGACACGTGAAAACACGCGTTTCGCTCAAGACGTTCTTAGCACATGCTCATGCTAGACATCCGCCTGGGCAACCTGGACACAAACAAGCGTCTCGATCGAGACTTCCTCGGCACATCCTCATGCTAGACATCCGCCTGGGCGACCTGGACACGTGAAAACAAGCCTCTGGTTCGAGACATCCTCAACAAATCCTCATACTAGAAATCTGTCTGGGCAACCTGGAGGCGTGAAACCAAGCGTCTCGCTCGAGACATCCTCAAGAACTAAGCACGTGAAAACAAGCATTTCACTTGAGAGCTCCTCTGAATTCAGGTCCCCAGTAGAGGACAAACTATAACACAAAACATGCGTTTCGCTCGAGACATCCTCAACACATTCTGACGAACAAGCGTTTCGCTCGAGACATCCTCACATTTTAATTCGCCGGCCCACCTCGACCTCGACATTTATCGCAAAAGAAATTCGCCGGCCCACCTCAAGTCAAACCCGTGGGTAAACCATCTAAAAAAGAACCCTAGGCTTAAGCCCTTTCCGAGAAAAACTGAAAGAGCTTCACGGATTGAGGATTATCCGTTTTCAAAACGTGACTCTCGCCTCAGCACCGTTCACATTCGTTCTAAAAAAATGGTAAAAAAATTCACGGATTAAGGGCGGTTCCTTTTCAAAATGTGGCTCTTACCTGAGCGCCGCGCATATTCGTTTACACATGTTGCAACAGTTTCACGGATTCCCACGATGAACGTACCAGAAACGGTGTTGGAAGGATTCAGCATTTTGCGGGTGCAACATATCCGTTGATTCGCGACGTTGAAATCCGAAGAATGGCGTTCTGGCACGATCCAGGATCGTCAAGACGCAACCGTCAAATTGATTCGTGGCATTGGACCCCCGAGAATAATGTTTTGGCATGCTTCCAGGTCTTCGAACGGTTGTCTTCCAACGAGGCAGATCCCTCATTGGAAATGAACCGTTGTGGGGGCCCATGAAGAGGGAGTTTTGAGGGAGGGTGTATTCCAACATCGTTGATAGCTCTTGGGTTTACTCTGGTCCTCCTCCTCCTCCTCCTCCTCCTCCTCCTCCTCCTCCTCCTCCTCCTGCCCCTCCTCCTCCCTCCTCCCTCCTCCCTCCTCCCTCCTCCCACCTCCTACTCCACAAGACGGCCCAAGAGACTCCCAAGAGGGCTCAAGAGAACCCCCAAAGAGAGGCCTTTCCCCCGGCCTCCAAGACTGCTAGAAGGCCCCCGAGAGGCCTCCAGAAGCCCCCAAGAATTTTCCAACCAAAGCTCCAAGAGGCCCCCAAGAGGCCTCACGAGGCATCCTAAATGTCACCGCGAGCACGCAGGCAAGTGCAAACGATGCTGGCAGAGTGCGCCAAGCGACCAGATAAGAAAGGGGTGCTTCAGAGGAGGAGGACAGGAAGAAAGTTGACGAGGAGGGAGGAGGAGCAGGAGGAGAAGGAGGAGGAGCAGAAGAGGGATGATAATGATGATGATGATGATGATGATGATGATGATGATGATGATGATGATGATGATGATGATGGTGATGATGATGATGATGATGATGATGATGATGATGATGATGATGATGATGATGATGATGATGATGATGATGATGATGTTGATGCTGAAGCTGCTGCTGCTGCTGATGATGATGATGAATGATGAATGATGAATGATGAATGATGAATTGATGAATGATGAATGAATGAATGAATGAATGAATGAATGAATGAATGAATGAATGAATGAATGAATGAATGAATGGATGATGATGATGATGATGATGATGATGATGATGATGATGATGATGATGATGATGATGCATCTGATGACGAGGAGGAGGAGGAGGAGAAGGAAGAGAAGGAGGAGGAGGAGCCGGAGGATGAGGAGGAGGAGGAGGAGCGTCGTGGGTGAGGGTGTAGGCAATTCCTCCAACTGGGCAACTGTGGGAGAGGAGGAAGAAAAGGAGGAAGCAAGAAGGGGACTGAGGAGGGGTAGATGACGGGGAACGAGGGTAGAGGCGGGAGGAAAGGAGGGGGAACAGGGATGAAGTGGACAAGCGAGTGGGAGTGGGGAGAAGAAAGGAAGGAGGCGAAAGAGGAGGAGAGATGGGGAGAGACAGGAGAGGGGATGAGGAACCATGCCCCCCTGCCGCGATGGGGGTGCCACGGATCCAGCACGACGTCCATCATGCACTTGCCTCAGCTAGCCGCCACCCAAGGAAATGAGGTGCCAGGAGAAGGGGAGAGGGACGACGAGGGAGGGAAGAGGAGGGGGAGGAGGGCACAGGGACGAGGAGGGAAGAAGACGGAGGAGGAGGAGGAGGAGGAGGAGGAGGAGATGCAGAAGAACACATCTCCCTCACCCCATCCCCACTTCATCCGTCCACCCACGCAACTGCCGCTGCTGATGCTGATGATGCTTATGCTTCACCCTCAGCCCTCCCACGCACCTCCTCGTCCTCGTCCGTCTTCCGTCGTACTGCAGCTGGCTCCCTCCCTGTCTCCCTTCACCCGTCCTACCTCTATCCCTCCCTCTACCTCCGTGCTATGTCTGCTGTTGTTGTGTATCTTCCGTTTCTTGATAACAAAAATGTCTCCTTCCCCCTCCTCCCTCCTCACCCCCTCCATCGCTTCCTGCTCGCTCTATGGTTCCCTCCTTCCGTGCCTCCTTTCCTCCCTGCCTCCCACTACCCGCGACCACCCGCCAACAGACTGACATCATCCCTCGATTCACCATTCCACACCATGTACTCTCCCTGCGTCCCTTCACCCTCCACTGTTCCTCGTACCGTCATAAATCCATCCTCATCCTCCTGTCTGGCTCTCTCTCTCTCTCT